TTTAACCAAACTTTTAGATTAACTATTCTGTATTATTATAGTAAAGAAATGGAGTTTCTAACTCATTAGAACTGCATTTACGGATTCTGGTAGTTTAGGCTCAAGGAAAACATCTCTAGCACCCAGAAACATTCTCGGGAAGTGGGCTAGTGTCTACCCGTGCAAGACTTCTAGTTTATACACTCAGAACCTTTCCGGTGACAAGGAATTTTTCCGAGTTTGAAAAAGTCTTCTGGTTAGCCAGAAATCTCTCATCCCTAGAAGTGTTCTGCACCAATTGTTTCCATACTCATACAATCTGTCTCACTTCATAGAGCTGGTTTTCCTGCATCTTCGTGGTGTAGATTAATATAACCTTTTCCTTTTCTATTTTTAATTTCTTTTTACTCGTATTTTTTTTGCCCCCTGGGCCCCGTTGTAGGTCGATGACATGTGCCTGGGTGGGCTATTCCCTGTAAAAAAATTATATATATACAGTCTCTCCTCGACTTACGACAGGGTTCCGTCCCGACGACCAGGTCGTAAGTCAATTTGGTCGTAATTCGAAAAGGCGAAAATAATTCACAGAAATTCTAAAATGGGTGTCTCTTTTTCATCTCAGCACCACGAGAACTTTCACTTTTAAGCTTGCCAGCCATTTTAAAGGGAATTACAAATGAAAATTTTGTCGGTACACAACGCGATCACTAACGTCAGGACTTGAAAATACGTAATGTGAAAAATATATTTTACGACCATGGCCGTCGTATGTCCGGGTTGCCGTAAGTCGAGGAGAGACTGTATATACAGGCATCCCCTATGTTACGGAAGGGTTGCGTCCCTGGAAAATTGACCGTATCGTGAAATTCCGGAACACGAAACCTATTTTCCCATTGACTTCCATTATAAAACTGGAGATGCGTTCCTTAGGAATTTTTTTCGGCCACAAAAAAGTAATTCGAGCACTTTTATGAATGAAAATAAACATTTATAAACACATACAATACAGTACATTAAATAATTTATGATATACTGTACCTTCTTAAAACACCAAGTTTAATATCCAATGTAATACCTTTGCGGCTTCTTTTTGCACTACTGCGGTCACTTCCACTTGATGGCCTCTTTCCAGTCACCTTGAATAAGGGTAATGCACTGTACTGTACTTACTGTATGTTTGTAAAAGTTAAACCCAACTGCTGGGGCGAGAAACATGCGAGCACAGTGGATGTAAACAATGGAGTGACTCTTGGCGGCAGCAAACACCAAGAAATCCACACCAAACAAATTATAATTTTTAACAAAAAATTATAATTTGATATAGTGATTTTTTTTAGATTGTTAAAATTTACCCTAATTTCCATAATAGCGGATTTACGGGCCGTATCACGAAATTATTGATCATAATTTACAAATTCCGTAAGAGCGAAATTCCGCAACCCGGGGTTCCGTAACGCGGGGGATGCCTGTATATTTCCCCGTTAGCCGGAACAATTGGTGCAGAGCACTACTGGGAATGAGAGATTTCCGGGTAACTAGACGACTCTGAAAGCCAGAAAAAAAATCCCTTATTCCCGGAATTTTCCGGGTAACGGAAAAATTTTCTCAGTAGTTCCAGAGATTGTCCATTGCATCATCTCTCGAACCCGGAAAAAAAAACTCCCCCATCCCGGGAATTTTCCAGAAAATTCCGACTTTGGGAACGATTTTCCGAGAAAATTTCAATTCTGGCTATCGGAGAGTTCCGGGTTTGAGGAAGATATTACTGTATGTATGTATGTACTGTATGTATGTATGTATGTACTGTATGTATGTATGTATGTACTGTATGTATGTATGTATGTACTGTATGTATGTATGTATGAATGTAATAATAATAAATAATTTTAATTAATGGTTTATTGAAAAAGTTCTGCAGCCCGAAGTCTGAAAATATACATTGGACAAAAATGACTTATTACATACAAAGACATAGGGTAGGTGGGTCGTTTAACAAAAGCTTTCATTACTGAAAGAAAAAGGAACATGAATTGAACATAAAAATTATTTTAGTTTGCAGTTGATGGCCCGGGCCTAGGCTGGTCATGGGAACACCGGGTGGTGTGGTGTTCATGTGGTGAAGTAACTCATCCTCGGTGATGATAGGAAGGACCTCACGTGGTCATGGGAACACCAGGTGGTGTGGGGTGGTGTCACAGTACCTCATTCTGCTGGATGGTGTTGTGTTTATCTCATAGTCAGGTGTGAAGCCAGTCCTCTGTTGTTCCCAGGGTGGACGGACTAGCACCTCCTGGTCAGAAGATGGTGGTCAGTTCCCAGGGGTACTTATCTCACTGGTGGGTCACGGCTCTCACTGGTACTGTCTGGTGCTGAATTCACTGGCCTAAACACTGTTCATCACTGTTCAACACTGATCCCACTTCTTCCCGAAACGAAATTGTCACTTTTGATTATGTAGATATCCCGGTGGTGAAGATGAGTCGGGGAGAGGGACTTGAGGAATGGGCTGAACATTGGCCAAGGGGGGCCGCTGCTCAGCAGCGCCTGGTAGGTCTTGACCCTCCGCTGGTCAAGGATGTAGTGTGTGTGTGTGCGTGTGTGTATGTGTGAGATTGATCATATGTCCCCTTTGAGGCTATGGGGACTTTTGTAGATGGAGTGGAGATGGCACTCTGACTCCCACACAACCTCTGGGGAGTCCGGAGAGGCTGGAGGCAGAGTGGGAGTCGGAGTCCTAGAAGGGGCTTTGTCTTGGCTTTATAGAAGGTGAAGTTCCTGGGTGAGACTGGAGAGGTGGCAGAAATCTGGTGCGCCTCCTTCTTCTGAAGGTAGAGCTCCTTGTAGCAGAGCATGCCCTTCTCCACCACTGCCCTCACAGACGATCTGTTGATGTTGGGGTCACTCTCAGCAACGTGGTTCATGGCTGTGTTCAACACCTTCAGAGTCAGCGTCACGGGTGCAGGGTTTTCCCCCCTCACCTGCTAACTCCTCCAATCTGTTGCTGTTCCAGGAGCAGCAGGTCCTCTGTGCTGAGCTCCTTAGAGTGGCTCTCCAAGACCTCAGCCACATTGTCTTCATCCACCTCCTGAAAGCTGGCTTCCTGGGAGATGCTGGCAATGTCACAGTGTACAGCTACAACATCAGTGAAGCCACTAAAGTCGTGCAAGCACTCGGGCCACACTGCATTCATGCAGCTTTGTGTGACCTTCCATGACTTGTTGATGTTGTGTATGGTGCTTCATCAACCTCCTCAAGTAGATGACACCCTGATCCATCGGCTGGAGGCCAGAAACATCACCCTGGTGCAATGGCACATTGTCAAGGATCGGGATAAGCTTGTTAGCGTTGTTCTGCTTCTCGGCGTACTCCTTGAGGTGCCTGGAGAGGTAGCCAACCATGTAACTCTGGCACAACACTATTGTTGTCCAGGCCTTCTCATTGGAGTGCCAGATGACTGGGAGATGCTCCTTAATAAACACCTTAAGAGCTCTAAGGTTCTCAGAATGGTACACCAGCATGGGAGTCAACTTAAGGTCCCCCTCAGCATTACTGCCAAGCAGCAAAGTAAGGTGACCCTTGGCTGCCTTGAAGCCTGGTGCAGTCTTCTTCTCTTTGGCCAGGAAAGTTCTTGATGGTATCCTTTTCCATAAGAGGCCAGTGCCTTTTTGATGATAGAAGTCATGGTAGTCTGGGCCAGGCCAAGTGCTCCAGCAATAGAGCACGCTCCTTCACCCATCTCATGCCACTGCACAAAGTTAAACTTCACCCCCAGAGACACAGTTTTCCGGGTGTTTTGGCCTTCATCGATGCAGGGTCTCAGCAACACACTTACTTGCCATTCTCACTAACTATACAGGTACTACAGGTAGTCACAAAAACTTAACAAAAATATTACTGTAATGTACAGTTTTAACCTGTAGTGTAATGTACTGTACTCCACTGTATATTTGCACTGCATCACTTCGAAGTTCCATTTAATGTGCCAAAATATTACTGTAATGTATAGTATTAACCTGTGGTGTTTAGTTAACTGTAAGAAAAAAACAGGGATGACAACGTAACCACAGTGATATCGGCCAGCTCGCACAGTACACATGTTCACGGAAACAGAGGCGACACACTTTACCATCACATAAACAAAGAAAATATCACTTCACAGTCACCATAAAACAGGTCAATCTAAAGGTTGGTGCTGTCCTTTCACTGTACAGTATAAGTAAAAATAAACACCGATGATTAGTACAATGTACGATGCTGGCCAATATTCGTGGAGCCATGTGATGGCGTGTTTTATGATCGACAAAGAACCAAACACAGGGCTGTAGTGGGAAGGTTGGCCATGTGGCGGTGCTTGGGTAGGCTGACAAGTGAAGGTAGAGATGCAGTGCTCGTTTATGCGTTTCTACATTTACGCGGTACCTTGCCAGAACTGGAATTCCCACTTTACGCGGTGCGTCTACACATATACGCGGGTGAAGTATAATTTTTTTATTTAGCTCATAAAATTCATACAAATTACCCGGCCAGAATATAATTTACATTGCTGGAATTCTTACAATATGATGATCATTTTGAATATAAACATCATAGATTTTGCATTAGACATACAAATTTTAGACCTAATGTAAGAATTTTGTTTACTCAGAGCAAATATGTTATCTTTTGTGCAAAATATATGAGGTGTATATTCAAAATATTCCTGGTCTTGCAAGGAAGCCAGCAATGTCAATTATATTATCCTAACTTTAGTTTGAGGTATTATTTATTACTATACCTTGAAATCTAGTGTTTTCTCCCAAACATTTCTCAGAGAGGGAGGAGCCAGCGAGCGTGGGAAGAGGGGGGGGGGCGGGCGGGAGTTGAGTCCATTATTTGAATGGACATTAACCTGGCGACTGTATTTCTCTTAAATATTAATTGTCTGTGCATACCATCATAGAATTAAGATGTTATTTTTACTACAACATAGGTATTGTGTAGGAAAAATGTGGAGTTTGGGAGTCGGCCCAGTCTCTATTTCAATTAATCCCATATGTTCTGTTACTCCATTTACACGTTTCTCGTTTTACGCGGGTTCAATTGACCGTGTAAATCGGGGTATTGCTGTAAATAACCCAGAGTTTGCATCACATTAAAACAAATCTGACCAATGGCTATCGGTGGCTATTTGATGGATGTCATTAAAGTGATTTGTTTTAATCGTATATAAGGAGATGGTGTTAATTTACATCATCGTTATAGTGAAATATCACATCTCGGGCTTTACCTGTATAAAGGTGTTTGTCTTGGCAGGTGAAGTGTGTTGAAGCAGCATTAAAGGAAACTGGTCAGAAGGAACAAGTGGCAGAGTTTGAGAACATTGTGAGAAGTCTTCAGGAAACCAACATAATTTCTGATAAGGTGAGTTACATAATTTTTCCTTGGTTGTAAGTTGTTTTGACTGATATAAATGAAGAGGAAAATTATGTTTGGTTTCTTATTATTATTGAGGTAAGGATTGTACAGAAGAGAAGGAGGAGGATTAGACAGAGCCAACAATAAAAGTTTGAAGTTGTGACTCCCCTTCATGGACTGTTACAGATAGAGGTCATAACACTGTACTGTACTGTTCTGTCACACTGGCTCCAAGTTATTTTTCTAGTCTGGCAAGCCATTTTGTGCCAAGAATACAGTAAATACAAACATTCTCCTTCTGTCAGTGTTATTTAATCATTTTCCTAAAAGATGTTATCGACTCAAAAACGGAAAAATACAGAAAGTCCCTCTGTGAACTTCATTCAGTATAACATTAAGGTAATGAAGTGATTCTCAGAGTGTTTAAGATCTGAACCCTACTTCTTTAAGTCTTATTATATGTAGGTACAGTACATATACAGTCGTGTTGCATCATACACACATTCAACTTTATACGCTTGGCTTTGGGGAAAAAACCCACTGAGTGTAGGTGGTGGACACAGTGGCCACCTGTTGTGAACAACAAGCTGGTGATTAGTGGCCACCAGGTTGTGAACAAAAAGCAGGTGACAGTGGCCACCTGTTGTGAACAAAAAGCAGGTGACAGTGGCCACCTGTTGTGAACAACAAGCTGGTGATAGTGGCCACCTGTTGTGAACAACAAGCTGGTGATAGTGGCCACCTGTTGTGAACAACAAGCTGGTGATAGTGGCCTGTTGTGAACAACAAGCTGGTGACGTGTACCTGTTGTGAACAACAAGCTGGTGATAGTAGCCACCTGTTGTGAACAACAAGCTGGTGACTGTGTTGTGAACAAAGTGTACCTGTTGTGAACAACAAGCTGGTGATAGTGGCCACCTGTTGTGAACAACAAAGCTGAGATAGGCTGGTGAAACAACAAGTTGGTGATTATGTTTACCCTGTCAGAACAATGTTGGTGATAGTAGCCACCTGTTGTGAACAACAAGCTGGTGACAAAAGTAGGTGACAGGGCTGTACCTGTTGTGAACAACAAGCTGGTGATAAGTGCCACCTGTTGTGAACAACAAGCTGGTGACAGTGGCCACCTGTTGTGAAATAAATAAGCTGGTGATGCGGGCCACCTGTTGTGAACAACTGGTGATAGTTAAGCGAAATAATAAATAAGTTGGTGGATAGTGGCCACCTTCAGAACAACTGTTGACCTGTTGTGAACAACAAGCTGGTGACGAAACCACCTTTTGTGAACAACAAGCTGGTGACGGGAGTGGCCACCTGTTGTGAACAACAAGCGGGTGACCCAATGGCCACCTGTTTGTGAACAACAAGCTGGATAGTGACCACCTGTTGTGAACAACAATTGATAGTGGCCACCTGTTGTGAACAACATAAGCTGGTGATAGTGGCCACCTGTTGTGAACAACAAGCTGGTGACAATGGGCTACCTGTTGTGAACAACAAGCTGGACAGTGGCCACCTGTCGTGAACAAATAAGCTGGTGATAGTGGCCACTGTTGTGAACAACAAGCTGGTGACAGTGGTGACAGTACCTGTTGTGAACAACAAGCTGGTGAGAGTGGCCACCTGTTGTGAACAACAAGCTGGTGATAGTGGCCACCTGTTGTGAACAACAAGCTGCCTGTTGTGACAACAAGCTGGTGACAGTAGCCACCTGTTTGTGAACAACAAGCTGGTGATAGTGGCCACCTTGCCAGAACAAAAGCTGGTGACAGTGGACACCTGTTGTGAACAAGCTGGTGACAGTGGCCACCTGTAAGTGAACTCTAACAAGCTGGTGACAGTGGCCCTGTCATGTACAAACAAGCTGGTGACAGTATTACCTGTTGTGAATAACAAGCTGGTGACAGTGGCCACCTGTCATGTACAACAAGCTGGTGACAGTGGCCACCTGTCATGTACACAAACTTGTGACACTGGCCACCTGTCATGTACAACAAGCTGGGTGACAGTGACAGTGGCCACCTGTTGCTGTACACAACAAGTTGGTGACAGTGGCCACCTGTCATGTACAACAAGCTGGTGACAGTGGCCACCTGTCGCCAGAACAACAAGCTGGTGACAGTGGCCACCTGTCGAGAACAACAAGCTGGTGACAGTGGCCATCTGTCATGTACAACAAGCTGGTGACAGTGGCCACCTGTTGTGAACAACAAGCTGGTGACAGTGGCCACCTGTTGTAAACAATGTTATGGTGACAGTGGCCACCTGTCATGTACAACAAACTGGTGTCACTGGCCACCTGTCATGTAACAAGCTGGTGACAGTGGCCACCTGTTGTGAACAAGCTGGTGAACACCTGTTGTACAACAAGCTGGTGACAGTGGCCACCTGTCATGCAACAGAAGCTGCAGTGGCCACCTGTCATAGAACAACAAACTGGTGACACTGGCCACCTGTCATGTACAACAAGCTGGTGACAGTGGCCACCTGTCATGTACAACAAGCTGGTGACAGTGGCCACCTGTCATGTACAACAAGCTGGTGACAGTGGCCATCTGTCATGTACAACAAGCTGGTGACAGTGGCCACTTGTCATGAACAACAAACTGGTAACAGTGGCCACCTGTCATGTACAACAAGCTGGTGACAGTGGTCACCTGTCATGTACAACAAGCTGGTGACAGTGGCCACCTGTCATGTACAACAAGCGGGTGACAGGGTCCACCTGTCATGTACAACAATCTGGTGACAGTGGCCACCTGTCATGTACAACAATCTGGTGACAGTGGCCACCTGTCATGAACAACAAGCTGGTAACAGGGTCCACCTGTCATAAACAAAAGCCAGGAGAATATTTGAAAAGATTTATGTTTTACCAAAGAACACTTTAATTATCGTAAATTATGAAGCAGGTGAAGAAACATCTTGCATTAAGCAGCCGGAAAACTAAGACCTTCTTTGCTTTCTATTTTAATATCAGTTTTGTGAAATTTTCCTAGGAGAAATTTAGACTTGTTGTAAACCATTAGTGTTTAAACCTCATTGTGTAGCACTAACTCATACATGATTGACAACTATTACTTTAATAAGTTTAAATTTATGATTGGCCATGTAAACTATTTTGGCAAGTTTACAGAATACTGTACAGGACATATACTTTAATCTATCTTGTTCCCCAGACTCTAGATATGATCCTGTCAGAGCCCATTGATGCATTTAAGAAGCATGAGAACACGAGACAAGACAAGGCGATGCTAGCGTCATTCCACGGTAAATATCAAGGGAGGGGACAGACCCGCAGTCGCCCACACCGGAGACAAGGCTGCTGATATGGAGTAGTACATGTTAAAGTTAGAGCCAGTCATGCCAGTGTTACAGTACATCAGAGCAACAATCAGGCATTAGTTCTATACATTGTTTAATTCTCCATATTTTATTGTACTGTACAGTGTATACATGTTAAATAGTTACCATAAGTCACTGCATAAATCATCAGAAGTTACTATAAGCAAAATAGGAAAAATAGGTCATTATAACAGAAGCAGAATTAGATAGTTATAGAGCCTTTTTGTCCTCTGTAAAACTGTTACTAAAGTGGCATGCCACCCATCTCTTACCCTCGAGGTGAGCCCAGTGTAGCAAGCTGTCCTTTGCCATGAGCATATGTTTACAAACACCTCTATCATACTATTATTTAAGGCAGAGAGAGCACCCACATAACCATTTACAAAGGCACCATAAAATATATTGCATCGATTCGCGAGCAAAACATTCTTTCGTTAATGACATATTGATCATTGGCTTGTGAGAGAGTAATATTGGAGTCTGTACAGTACAGGCTAATATAGAACTTTATGTGTTATTTGTCAAAGTATTGTTCCAGGAAGTGTCTGGCCGGAGGTTGTATATATTATGAACTGACCAAGTTTCCAGTGTTTTTTTGTTTTTTTTTTACCAATTGATACATGTTATTTTGTACAATATGTTACTTTACACTGCAATATAAATTAACAAAACTAAGGAAAATGTACAGAATACTGATTAAACAATTGAAAAAATATTTTGAGTTGTATTATTATACAGTATAGTACACGAGGAAATATTTTAAGATATGAATACTGTATACATGTTCTGGCACCATTGTTTATGTAGAGTATAAGAAAAACACCAATTAACTACTCAATAACCCTCACTACAAGGCCAGAGGTTGTCCTTCCTCTCTCTCCCTCTCTCTTCCTCACTCCCTCCCTCTCTTCCTTCCTCTCTCTTCCTTCCTCTCTCTCACTCTCTCTTCCTCCCTCCCACCCTCTCTTCCTTCCTTTCTCTCCCTCCCTTCCTTCCTCTCTCTGCCTCCCTCCCTCGATTCCCCTGTGCTTGTACAACAGTTCTATAACACGTACTACAGTATATTGGGTTGATGTACACTCGCAACAAAAAGTATCGGTGCATACTGTAGTGTGAACAATTTGAGACCAGTGACGATAGGCATTGGGAAAGGTGAGTTGTTCCAGCCGTATGTTGGCAGCTCTGGTCAAGTGAAACAAACCGTTATAAATGAGGTTGGGAAGTGATAAATAGAAAGTATGAAATATGAGGAGCTCCCTGTTAACAAAATTATTTGTGATACTTGTGAATATTGCCACATTAATTTATGCGACCAAATAAACCACTCAACCTGGTCATCCTGAGGGGTGGTGCAGCGTGGACGGCCGCTCCGAGACCTGTCGTCTGTAGCACCAGTTTCGAGGTATCGCCGAATCCATCGTGCAGCGGTGTTCCTGTGGACACCAACCCACTGACTAATCTGTGGCGCCGAACCCTTCGTTATGAAGGGCAATAATAGCTCCTCGTGTTCCCTCTGAGGTTTCCATGTCGTCTAGCATGTGTAGATCTCTACTGCTTCATATTGCCTCTGTTTTATACCCATGTTCACCGAGACCGAACCCTCGCTCATCATTCAGTCGACACAAAGCAACAATCCGAAAAGAGGAAACAAACACACTGATTGTCAGCCATATGGCAACACCTAGTGGAGGGGGGGGGTTATGAGGATACACTTGCCAACCTTCCCGGCATATCACAGTGTATACGTATCGTTTCGGAAGTCGTCGATCACACCCTGCACCGATACTTTTGGTGCGAGTGTACCTTCAGTAGTGTTTTAAACTCCTCTCTCTTATCAAGGAACGTGTCAGTACAGTATTAATGTACATGACTTTCAAGTCGGAATTTGTTCTCGGTAACGTCTCTGCTCTTGGTAGTGATTCCGGCCCCCCGCCATTCTCAGCAGCTTTTGCTAAATACTGTACTTTATATTTTGCAGGGTGTAGTCAGAGATGTCGTTGTTTACATGGCGCTCCTCTCCACCTGGGTGGGAAGTAGAGCGGGTGGGAGTGTCCTTCTGTCCCCCAGCTCTGTGGTGGCGCTCTTGCTTCCACTACCCTCCTGGATATAACCCATGTACGTACACCCGTTCCCGTTGCTCCTCGACTCCTCCCTCCTCTGCTTGAAGCCCTGTAGGAGTTTTTTGTGCTGTTCCCTCTGCATTACCGTGCAATCTGTGCGAATGAATATATTCCGAAATGCCTCGCTCCTCGCTAAGTGTTTGCCTGCCGAATAACTTCCCATTTCTTATTCTCACTCACTAACGTAATCTTGAGGGGTCGAGGCTTGTCCTCCTGCTTTTGTCCTAGCTTCCTCACATCCTGAGGGGGGTGGGGGGATGACATATTCAGAGCCTCTGTACAAATATTCTCAAATTGTAACTTATCGTGTGTTTTCCTACTCTCAACTTCCTCCGACTGGTTCTCAGGGACTTCTAAAACAAATACGTTGTTCCTACGTGCATGTGTTCTGGGTATCAAGTTCTATCTACAGGAGTGAACACAAACACTTGTAGAGTTTTCGTAGGTTCTATTTACTGGATAAACGAAGGTACACAAGGAAGGTGGCTCTCCTTACTCTGTATGGGGGGGTCAACTAGCCTCTCGGGCGACATGTGGTAAGTGATACATTAGCAGCTTCCATATGTCGCCAGGCACATTAATTAAGCATGTGGGACATGGTAAATACATCGCCACACGCTGCTAGCTAGGCTGAATAAATAATGTATATAAATGGAGCACATACATAATATGCATACATAATATACATACAGCATACATAATATACATACACCTCCCTCCTCCCTATACGCTCATAGCAAAGTCTTGAGCGGACCTTTTCTTTTGGATCCGTTCTGAGCGTCGAGGGACTTGATCACTGGGAAGAGTATGGGACTCAACACTGGTGGTGGGGTCAGCAGAAGGCATTGTTACGGGGCGGAGAAAACGACGGTTCCTCCGCCACACACTTCCACTGGGTAACCGCACCTGGTAGTCCCGTGACCTACCGAGACCCATGACTACGCCCACTTTGTCCCAACGTAGGGAGGTCGGGTCCTGAACACGGACTTCGGTGCCGACGCTCAACCTGGGGAGAGGACGGGCGTGGTCGTTGTAGTGGGCGACGACGTCATGAACACTTTCGGCGGCTCGGCGATCACAATCCTCTGTCTTGGCCTGCCACTCCTTGGAGAACGATTGAGGGTGAGCAGGGACACAAGAACGAAGGGGGCGTCCATACAAGACCTGGGCGGGGGAGCGTCCGGTGTAATTAGGTGGGAGTTCAAGGAGACCCCGGTCGAAGGCCTCGCAGTCAATATTCCCAGAAGGGGCCACCTTAAGGATGAGGTGCTTCAGGGATTTGACAGCAGCCTCAGCGTGGCCATTGGACTGCGGGTAATGGGGTGATGACAACACATGCCATACTCTCCATCGGTCAAGGAACACAGCAAAGTCCCGGCTTGTGAACTGGGGCCCTCCGTCTGTTCGCAGGCGCACAGGAACGCCCACATCACGGAAGTAGTGGCGGAACTTGCTGATGGTGGCGGCAGACGTCGTGTCATTACCGCACTTGATGACAACCGGCCAACCAGAGAAACGGTCGACGATAACAAGGAAGGACTTTCCTGACACACAGAAAAAGTCGGCCGACACAGACTCAAAGGGGCGGGTGGGGTTGTCGTCACTCATGAAGGGTTCCTGCTGCTGGCTGGGCTGTAATACTTGGCAGGGCTCGCACGCACGGACAACATTGGAGATGTCGGAGTCGATGCCGAGCCAGAACACAGTCTGTCGTGCACGTCGTTTGGTGGCCTCAGCTCCACGGTGACTGTCGTGAAGGCGAGCCAAGACGTGGGGACGTGAGGCAGCAGGGACAACTACACGTGCTCCGTACAGAACAAGGTCCCCGTCGCAGTAGAGTTCATCGCGGAGTTTCCAATACGGTAGCAGGGTGTTGTGAAGGTCGTAGCGGTTGCTAGGGAATCCATTCCTCACATACTCGACGAGTTGGACGCAGGAAGGGTCATCTCGGGCCGCTGTTCGAAGGCCCTCCATTGCCTTGTCGTCATCTGGTGACAGGTCCGAACGAAGGGATTGGACGGCGTGTAGAGTGACCACAGTCCTGACGGAAAGAGCGAGGTCGGCGTCGAGCACATGGTCTTCTAGAGTAGGGCGGCTGACAGGAGAGCAGGATAAGGCATCAGGGATGCAGAGCTCCTTACCAGCACGCCACACTGCTGTGAAGACGTACGCCGAGAGCTTCTCTTTCAGATGCTGGAGGCGAGGGTTCTCAACGGCGTCCAGCGTGTAGCGGTTGAGGATCGGAACAAGCGGGCGATGGTCGATCACTAGGTGAAAGTGTTGCAGGCCTATGAGGTAAAACCTGCACTTGGACATCGCCCAAACCACAGCCAACAGCTCCAACTCAATAGTGGCGTAGCACGTCTCGGTGTCAGAGAGGAAACGCGAGCCACACTGGACAAGCCAGAACTGCCCTCCACCATGTCTACTGAAGTGAGGGCTAGTAGACCTGTACCCTCCTCCTAGTCAGTGTCCAGTCCCCCCATTGGCGAGTTCCAAGGATATTGACACAGGCAGCTGGGACTGTACAATGGGGAGGTGACAATGAATGTGGAGGTTGGTAATTATCTGCTACTGTATATGGGAGATGTTTCATGTGCACTGACAAATTTGTGCACTGACAAATAGAGAGTTCATCAGGCCAGTTAAAATATATATCGATACACTGTTACTTCTTAGACACTAGGAAAATAATAAAATATATGGTGTATTAATTTATTTTTCTTTCTTCTCAAATTTATCCATACATTATTTTGTTTAATTTATATTTAACCAAAATATGATATTTTCAAGGAAAACTTCACCCTTTAAACATATTAATGACTGCAGACACCAGTTAAAATTACTTAACACAGAATGTGTGGAAGGTGATATAGAAACTATTTCCAATAAAATTCTGTAACTCCTACATCTTCTGTATGGGATGAAACAGAGGAAACAAACAGCAAGGTGGCAGAGTAGAGTACTGTGGTGAATGAACAGTGCAGAAAGAAGGTGCTAATACAAGATGTAGATATACTGTACAGTCTACACATTGACAACCAGACACCTACAGTCCTACAGAAGAATCCTCAATCTATAATTTCCTAGAAGATGAATTGAGGTAACAAGGATAGGAATACCTAGTGATAAATCCACCATTGCTATGGAGTTGTACTTTAACATGTGATTGTTTCATGGAATCAATACATCAGTACGATACAGCAGAGATAATTTCAATAGGTGCCCTATAAGTTCATAATTCCACTTGTTGTAGTCTTCAATTCGTTTCTCTTCAACATATAATAAATTTCAAAGGCTAAAATACATTATGAACAAAATATTAGCAGTAAATTATTTTCCGAATGATAATTAATTTTTTCTATGGAAAAATTGTATAACTTCAAGCAAGATTTTTCTGAAATGACACTTTCAACAAAGTAAGATAAAGATCTAGTGTACAGGATATTACAATAATTAATACAATAGAAATATGTAAGTAAACTATGTAAGGGTTATAAAAAAAAATAAATTAAAGTTACTAATTGTATAGACTTTATTATGAATGATACTAATAAAATGGGTTAAAATGTAAGAACTGTGTATTAAATAAATATAAATTAAACAGATGCTGGTATATATTACTTCACCTGAAAGAGAATTACCATACTGCAATATCATAATTCAGTTATTATCTCCTTGTCAAATGTACTGGTGATATATCAAGTACACTTGTGTTTTATCAACATCCACCTCCAAATAACATGATATACAGTACTGTACACTGGTAGCCTATTTAAGGGAAAGGCTTCCCAAAAAAGCCTCACATCATCCATAACTTAAACCAAACACTTGCCAAGAGACTGAAGCCATTCCAGAGGACAAGTTACATTGAACATTCACCAATATGGAAATAGCTTCATATATGACAGTCATACTTTACTGTAATAGTAGCAGAACTCTGGAGCTACCAGCGAGTGAGTCCCCCTGAATGTGCTACAAACTCTGTAGAATAGAATTTAAAGTCTCAGTCTAGTCTACAAAGAGAAGGTACAAATTACATCTCTTTATGAACATTTTTGGCACTATAATACCTTTAAAAATATTGAATTACTGTATACATTCCATGATCACAAACTTTACAGTACCTTATGTGACTAAGAAAATATTCTGTGTCAACATGTAGATCATTCACCTTTTTCTAAATTGAAGATTTTAAAATGTAAAAAGAAATGATCCCAGACATTTTAGTTTGTTCATGAGAGAGAAACACAATAATGATACCCAAGCGTCCTCGACCTTACTAAGGGTTTTATCTTTCCATTAATTCTGTTAATTTTAGCATCACATTCTTTATCCATATGGCAGTACCAAAGTCTCTAAATGGCTGAGAAGACTAAACAAGCACTGGGTACCACCAAGCAGTCATGCATAATTCAAAATGCTGACTATACAGTTGATAGCTTTTGCACAGACCATTGTTATACAATCAGATGAAAGTGTGGACATACAAATTTAGAGTTTTCATCCAAAATACAAGTAAGTAAATCATACAATATTTTTAACATTTGTTTTGCCTTTTAGAATTTATGTAATTTAAATGGTTTTATGGAATGTTTTTTATTAAAGCTCCCTAAATATAATCTTAAGAATGATGTCAGTTGGCATCATATTGTATGTTTTTTTTTTTTAAGTAACATCTTTCACCAAACAACATAACGCGGTAATAAATTTCTGCTTACTAAAGACCACGGTACAGTACAGCAGCACCATTTTGGCCAGGAGTCTTTATACAAGATGTAAAAGTTGCCTAATATGCTACAGGTAAGCAACAAGACAAAAGTTTACAGTATTAAAATTGTAATGTGTCCCCAGCACCAGGAGCCCCAGGGTGTCACAGGAATGTATGCTGTGAATACAATAACTAAAACAGTAATGAATTTACCTAAACACTGTATGGCTGTATCCACGAGACATCAGGTGAGTTTATTAATTAATGTAGTATTTTCTGTAATTATTGACTACAGCCACAGCCCTTCACTGTGGCATGGTGGGGGGCTTCAATGCCACCTTTGATCTACTGAGTACTGTATTCATTTAAATTAACCCATCAAGAACACAGAAAATAGATAATTAACTGTCAACATTAACTGATAAATATTAGTCACAAGCACCACAAATGATCAATATAAACACAAAATTCATACACAGTACAGAAATAAAATATGACCACTTCACTTTGTGCGTTAATGAGGAAACATGTACAGGTATTTAACTGCACGATCTAAAAATTAAATTGTGTTCTCTAACTTTCTATTGTAATCAAAGATTTTATTGTGCATAAGTTTAAACATAAGTATGTACAATACAGTATATGATGGTTGTGTATTTCTGAAGAATGTTTGTATCTGTATTCCCGCTTTCATTCTTCAATATTAATAAAATTACCCTTTAGTGACCTCTGGTTGAGTCCAGTACACATTGCTACATCTCACTTGCTGTTTAAACCGTCATAAAAGAGGTTGTGTAGTAAGTTTGTCTTTATAGATTATGCTTTACAAACAGTTGACATATTAATGTATAGTATAGTTCTCATTCTTGACACATTACATATGAGGGGAAATAACATAGCCATAATACATTACAACCATTCACCTTGTTCTTCCTGACCAAGGCAGCAGTCCAGTAAGAGCACTGTACAGTAATGGTTTTGGTCACAACTCATTACTGGACAACATAATTATACTGTATATGATGTGTTCACTGAGCTTTGGCTTCCCTTTCTCTCTTCTTCAGACCCTTGATGCGGATAGTCTTCAGCTGATTAAACACAATGTGTGTGAGGATCCCTCCAGGGAGGTAAGTCTTCATTACTTCAATCATGTAGATCTGAGGAAATAAATTAATTAGCAAAGGTACAAGAAATGGCATCTAAAATCAACTTGAAATGTTTGATGATGAAAGTGTGCATAAAGAGACCTAGACATTAGCTACAGGAAACAAAGTAATTAATACAATCAAATAAATTACTAAGGCAAATATATTAAAGGTAAACAATCATTATCATATGCAAATATGCTCATCAAATTTGGAGGAAAAAATCACCAACGCAACAATTCAACCAACCTGAAGCTTATGCATGTAGTAGCCAGCAGTACGTGCCTCAACACCAATAGTCTTTAGAGAAGACTTAACATATGCCATGGGTGTGGGGATCATGAGGGAAGGTCGCTTCACCTTGGACATGTTGGACACAACAAAACCTGGCAGTACACACTGCACAGTAATGCCTCTACTGCGGTACTCAGCGGCCAGGCTCACACTCAGGCTATCAACATAAGCCTATGGGAGAAAATCAAAATTAGACTATTCAGTACAGTATCAACCATACCATACACACATTTACCACTAATGATTGTCTCACAAGAAGTATAAATGTACAGTAGTTATTTTTTCCTCACCATTCACCTTACAGCTTTCAACACAATCATTTAAAATAGGCCAAAAATTAGACAAGAAAAAGAGTAATTTGATGTAAGGGCTGAAGAAAAATGGATTAACGTTAATAATCTGCACATTAATATACTTATTGTAAACTGATCATTATAAAAATTAAATAATGTACCTCATATCAAAAACTTCTTGAATACCATAAGCTTTATGCAATCTAAAAAATTAACAAAGAACCTGAAACCATTACTAGATGACAAGCCCCATTCTGCTCATTCTCACATCCATCGTGCCCAGATGTTCAAGAAGTTTTTGTTGAGTGTGTACATCCAGTACAATACTGTACTAACCTAACCAAATAATTATGTACACCCATCAAAACAAATTTCTGCACCTTTTCACCTTCAGTACAAACAATATCAAACAACAAACCAAGAATTCTGACAAGTGGCCATGAGTCCTGGTGCCTAATTCACAGTCTCACAGTTGACTTAGACACTCCAAGCAGCACAATCTCAGATTTTTTTTATTTTTTATTTTATTTTTTTGCCGGGCACAGGTCATCGACCCACAACAGGGCCTAGGAGGCGAAATAATAAGAGTAAAAACAAATTAAAAATAGAAAAGAAAAAGATTTTATTAATTTACTCCACGAAGATGCCGGAAAACCAGCTTCTTGAAGCAAGACAGATTGTATGAGTATGGAAATACAGACGGCAGAGCATTCCATAGTTTGGCTGTGTGAGGAAAGAAGGAGGTATTATAACAAGTTATTCTAGTGTGACCGACATCCACAGAGAAACGATGGGCACCGAAGCCAAGACGAGTGTTACGAGCCCATGGCCTTGACGGTGGTACACAGGATGCCAAATCCACCGAACATTGCCCGTTAAAGTACCTGTAAAAGAGAGAGCGAAGCAATATTGTTGCGAAGAGAAAGGGAAGAAAGATTATCAACTAAAGGAGAGAGTTAATAAGATGAAATGCCTTTGATTCCACCCAATCTAACAGTTGGGCAGAAGAAGAGCCACCCCAGATTTGAGAGCAGTACTCCAAGTTAGGGCGAATGAAACCTTTTTAAACTGAAGCAACTGCTCAGGAGTGAAGTAGCTACGGCATCTGTACAGCATTCCCAGCTTTCGGGAGGCAACTTTAGCAATGTTGTGGATGTGTGGCTTCCACGACATATTAGAGGAAATGGTGAGGCCTAGCATATCAGCCATGTTAATATTGTTATTATTATCCACTCTGTATCTGTATTTTTCTGGCTAAATAAACTGTTACTGTTACAATATTTATTTTACAATTTGGTAGCATGATTGCATCCTGAAATGTGATTGGTGGGAGTTCATCTAATTTGGAAAGTGTAATTGATTAATTCTGAGTTTTATTACAACTGAATTTAAACAAGCTTCTACCTCCCCATTTGGGGATGCTGTACAGATGTAATGATATCAGCTCTAGAAACAGATCTAGTTTGTGAATTAGGGGGAAGGGAAAAATGTGAAGAAGAGTGAAGAGTAGAATCATCAGCGTAAGAATTAGTCATAGAGTGAATGTAAATCATTGATAAAAAGAAGGAAGAGAGTAAGTGAAATAACAGAACCCTGTGGGATACCACTATTGGTAGAGAAAGAGAGAGAGATCCCTCGACAACAACTGCCATGAATTGGTTCTCAAGGAAGCTAAAAATTAGAGAACAAAGTGAGGGAGAGAAACCATAAAAGAAGCTTAGAAAGCAAAGACTTGTGCCATACCCTGTCAAATGCTTTGGAGATGTCAAGGGCCACAGCGAAAGTTTCCCCATTATCCCTAAGAGAGGATGACCAAGGATGGGTGCAATAGGAGAGCAGATCACCAGTAGATCTCGCCTGGCGAAAGCCTTACAGGTGATCCGACAAAAGAGAAAGGCATTCAAGGTGACGGAGAAAATGAGCTTAAGATAGTTTCGAAAATCTTAAGAGAGGGATGAAGTTAGGGCAATAGGGAGTTAGAGGGATAAGAATGGTCACCCTTCTTCAGGATGGGCTGAACCGGGGCATGCTTCCAAGAAGAAGGAAAAGTTTGGGTTTTGAGGCAAAGGCGAAAGAGGCGAGCAAGCACAGGGGGTAGAACTTCAGCACACTCTCTCAGATCACGAGGGGGCATTCCATCCGGTCCATGCGCCTTACTCATATCCAACCTGGATAACACACCAGCTACCCTACAAGAGGAGATTATAGGAAAGTGCATAGGTTCAGTAGAAGGAGCAGGAGGAACAGAGTTGAATCATCTAAAGTGGAGTTAAAGGAGAATAAGGTGCCAAAGAGACTGGCTTTGTCAGGGGGAGAGTTAGCTACAGAGTTATCAGGTTGGAAGAGTAGAGGAAAAGAGGGAGTGCAGAAGTTATTACACGTTTTTGTTTAAGGACCAGAAGGATTTACTGGAAGAAGAGTTAGTCAGGACAGCGGTCTTTCGTTTTATAAAGTTCCGCTTGGCCCTACGAAGAATAGTCTTACAATGATTCCTAGAAGTAATGAAAGAGGAGTGGGTAAAAGGAGGAGATAGTTTCATAGCTTGATATGCCCTATCTCTCTCCTTACATGCAAGAGAACAGGAGCGATCAAACCATGATTGTAAAGTAAAAGTTTTGGTATTAGAGGGGATAAATGCATTCACACCAGCCTGTTTTATCCCAGCAATGCTGTCAGCACCTACTGAGGCGTCCCGAGAGGAAAAGCAACATCCACTCCAAGGAAAGTCGGAGAAGAATTCTCACAAGGATTGCCAGTTTGCCCTCCAACAGTGCCATAGTTGGCATTTAGAAAGGGGTGGGGGAGGTGGTTGTGCCCAGTTTGATTTAATAGAAATAAGATTGTGATCAGAAGACCCTAAGTGGGCAGAAATTGAATATGAATAGTGTGAGGGGTTAGAGGTAAAACAAAGATCAAGAATGTTAATAAGTTGATCTTGTCGATCAGGAACGCATGTAGGGTGTTTGATTATTTGTTCCAGATCATTAAGTAAGGAAAAATAGAGTGCCTCAGCTCCACCTGGGTCATCCCTTGCAGAGACAGGCCACGCTCTGTGATGTACATTGAAATCCCCTCAGTAGAGGATCTCGGTGTTGGGGTGTGTGGATAGCAACGACTCATGGCAAGAAGTGAGATGCACAAAGAGTTGAGAGAACAGTATAGGAAACAAAGAAAAAGTCATAGTTGGTAGAGATATTTTGAGCCAGATGACATCAAAAAGAGAAGATTCAAGATCAGTGAGTCAAGCTATAGGTTGTGGAAGGCCATGATGGATGCCCACATAGAGTTGACATATGCTTGGTGAATGACAGAACCATGGTAGGAATAACAGACATGTCATCTGATACTTTACCATGCCCTTGTCTAATTTGTTGCTAATAAACTTCATGGCCACAAAACTTATTACCAACAGTAGGGTAAGGTTTGCCAGGTCTCTTAGGTTGGGTTTGAAAAGGTTTTGACTGTGACAAGTCTCAAAGCAGGTTTTACATCTATAATTTGAAGGAAGAATATAATATGTTTCATGCAAGATGGCTAGGGAACAACCTTTAAATAAATATAAATACAGTACTGAATACAGAAACATACAATATATGCATGTAGTCATAGTTTTATTCCCACTTCCTGTCATATATGCATGTTCCCATATGGCAACTCAACCTTATTGTTGAATGATAAAAGTTCTCAATGTTTGTTATCCAAATATATTATGCAGACTGTACTGTATTAAGCATAAGTACTGAATCATATCTACCACTGTAATTCAAGATTTAACCCTTACGCCCAAGGCTAGGGTGCCTCCAGCCATACCCCCAACGCGAGGTAAAACGAGAAAAATCAACTTTTCCAAAAATAATTTTTAACCTTTATAAACGATAAAACAATAAAAAAAGACGCAAGAAAAAACTATACATTGTCCCTCTATATTCTTCCATGGCGCCTCAGTAAAGAGACAAATAAAGGGTTTTTTTTTTTACATCGAGCGCTCGCTGTCACTACGCACTTAGGGGTCATTTTCCCGCTTGCCTTTGTGTCCGAGTTGGCCAGTAATGCATTTATTTACTGATCATAATACTTATTTCCTATAAATAATTCATTCAAACTTTATTTTATTTGCCTTACTCTTAAGAAGTTCTCAGCGCCACACACACAGTCTGTCGTCAGGCTTTATGTTTGGGAGACCACGTAGGTCATACAAATAATTATCGGAATAATAATTCCACAAATAAATACATTTATAACATAATCATACCATTAGCATCTAGTAAAATAAAGCCACACAACTTTTAGTAATATTACTTTAATACAACATGATAAAATATACCAGAAAATAAACAAACAAAAGAAGTTATTTACCAAGAAGCTTCCCTGTGACCACACATAAGAGGGTGGGAGATAAGAGGGCTATTTTAAGCCTGTCTTTGTGTCCGAAGTGGCCAATAATACATATATTTACTGATCATAATACTTCTCCTATAAATAATTCATTTAGAATTTTTTTTTTGCATTATTTTTCATAAAAAGCGTTTGGTGACACACCAGTCTGTCACCAGCTCCCTGGCTGTCTTTGTGTTTGGTATAGCAAGTAATACATAAAATAATAATAATTCCACAAATACATACATTTATAACAATCATAGCATTGTTTTACACTAATACTACACTACAATACAACTACACTACCTTTAGCAATATTACTTTAATACAACATGATAAAATGGACAATGAAACAAACAAAAGTAGGTAATTATGTTCAGGAAGCTTCCCTGTGGCCGAGGTGTGGCGTGACAGGCAAATAGTTACAAGGGAACCTGATAACCCGCGCTGGGCATTTAAACAGTGGCGGGAAAAGGCGCGCGTTCTGCAACGTTACCCGGGCTGCGCCAGTCGGACGTTCTGGAATGTCTCCCGGGGCCTAAGGGTTAATGCTATAGTACAGTACTGCATACAGAAGAGCTAACGGGATATTTACAGAGGTGTGTCTCACAGTCACGCTTGTCAGCCTTACTGAGACAACAGGAGGTGCAGCGCTCAAACTGAAAACCATCTTTTTTTTTCTTTTTTACAGGGATTAGCCCCCCCCGGGCACAGGTCACTGACCCACATCAGGGCCTAATAATAATAATAATAATAATAATAATAATAATAATAATAATAATAATAATAATAATAATAATAATAATAATAATAATAATAAACCATAAAGAAATACAAAAATGAAAAAAAGATCAAAAGTGAGAAACAATATATGTATGTTGTGATGTCAATAGTAAGTGAAACAACTGAGACCCTGTAATTGTGTGTAAATGAGGCAGAAAGTCAGATACAGGAGGGCAAATACTTTTTTGGTGGGTGTACATAACCTGTACTGTGCTGTATTCTACCTAAGGTAACCTAAGCAGGTACTCCAGGGATGTATAAAAAAAGCCTACAAAAGTTTAATGTTTTATAAAGGAAATGTTTTTTAGTTTAATCTTTCTCACAACTTTAGAATATATTCATGTTAAATGTGTAATATGGGTAACAACCACTGGTCAGGACACAAGTACAGTAAACAGACCTTGGTGGCCCCGTACACAGCCAGCAGTGGAGCCGGCACTATGGACGACAAGGACGACACGTTGATTATGAGACCTCGTTTTCTTTCTGCCATCCCGGGAAGGACGATGAGGGACATGTGAGTTAATGACTTGATGTTGCAGTTGATTATGCTGTTATACGTCCTTTAAGGAAGAAATGTTAATCAGAAGAAAGCAAAATGGAATTACATTGTACAGTACCTGTACAACTTTACATCTCACAAGAGTCCCTCAACTAAGAGAAATATTCTGTTGTCTCTCCATGGTGAGAGAGTTCCTGCACCATTACTGACTACTGTACTGTACTTCTATTTTGGGACACTATATTTCGATGAAGTTGAATCTGCAGTATTTCTGTCTGCCAAATTAATGATGTAAATGTTTTGTACACAATGTGCACTATCATATGAGCAACAGCTGCAGCACTGAGAATAACTGTTTTATATATAAGTAAAACCTTAATAAATTGGATTTCAGTACATCATAATTCACTTTTTTCGGACTCTCTGAGGTGCTCTGGGGAAAAAACAATTACCTATCTACCACTGCACATGTAAGCAGGTTGGGGGAGGGGGGCTGATCGGGTGTTGCCGGATTCCTAAGTAACAATACATGAGGCAGCTGGGCTGGTGCGTCGGCCACATAGTTTATAGCCAAGGCCTTGGGTAGAACCACCTCCATACACGTTCACTTCTCTTACATACACACCCAAGCTCTTCTTTTTTTTGTTTTATATTATATTTTATTTATTTTTAAGCCACATTAGAGTAGTGTAATGATTCTTTTCAAACTTTTCAAACGGCTAGGCTAGCGAGACATAGTTATAGCCCACCATACACACACGTTCACTTCTCACACAAACACACCCAGGCCCTTCATTTTATTATACTATAGTTTTATATTACAGTAAACCCTTGCTATTAGCGGGAGTTAGGTTCCAAGGAATGGCGCGAATGGACAAGTTGACGGTTCTGGGCAAACACAAGAAATACACTCTGCCACATTCGTAGAGTGATACGGTATAATGTACTGTATATAAATTGTAATAAAAGTTTGAAGTCCTGCTATAATAGTCGAGATAGCTTTGTTTCTCCTCCATTCTTATGGTCTTTTGGACATAAAAAACTCCCATGTTCACACCAGCTCAGCTGTCATGTATTCTTACCTGGTAGACTTTCTTCTTCTTTTTTTCAGTACATTTACAGAGTATAGTGGTCCCTCGGTTAACGAACACAATTCATTCCAGAGGGTCGTTCGTTAACCAAATCCATTGTTCCCATTGAATTCGTTTATGTGATTAGTGATATTTATATATTCAAAGTAGTATTACTGTGTTGCACAATAAAGCACAATTAATTATATAATAATATTTATTTTCCGAGCTGATCAGCCGAGATGTTGGACATTTACAGCTGGCTGCCTCCCGCTGGGAAGTTCACCCCAACCAGTGACATCACAACCAATCAAAGAGTTTTTCGCAGTCACGTGACTTTTTAGTAACTTTAACCCTTATTTTTTACATTTTTTAGCCCACTTTATTTTAAAATATCATTACCATAGTGAATTTAAGCATTTTCTTTACCCACTGACCTGCCATTTTAAAAAGAAATTCCGACCATCAACTCGTCCATTGGCAATACTGCGAATAGCGACTTGTACTACCTTAGTGCACTACTGTAGTGTATACCTTTACTGTGTATGTGAACCTTAGGTTACCAATACTACTCTCCTTCATATGTGGATGTTTGGAGCTTGATGAAGTGTACTGAGCAGTCTGAAATCTGGTTACTGAAGCATAGGGAAATCTTCAGGGTCACTGTTGGAAGAGGGTGATGTAGTGGTGGTTGGTGGAGAGGTGGGTTGTGAAAAGGCGGGAAGGCAAGTGGTGGGGAGGTGGGTTGCGGAGCGGCAGCAGCTGATCGAGCAGGTGAGGGAGACAATTCAGGTGGCCGAGCGGCTGGTTCTTTCTTGAAAAACAATGGTTGGTAGTTGCTTCCTCTTGGCTTTTAGGTCTCTTTAAACTTTTCACTTCAATAGCATCACTAGCACTGACACTAGGAAGTCTTTTAGGGGCCACTTCACACAGAAACACTAAAGTTTTCAGCAAAACATAAGAGATGCTGTGTCACAGGCAATGGCTGAACGCAAACAAAGGGAGAGACGCTGTGGTTACACGGGGTGACTCGTTGTGCTGCGGGTAGGCTCGTAAGCCATCATCTGGTTACCGCAAATAGTCGAAATCGTAAATCACAAACCCCCAAATAGCAGACATTTACTGCATATTCTCTTAATTTCTTAGCCACATCCTTTATAAAGAATAAAATAATTGTTAAAGAAGTCCATTTTTCTGAGAGCCACACCAGGAGTAGGACACCCCTTTGTAAATAAGTCTCTTCCAGTCCCTGTAAATTCAGTTGTCTCTGAAGATGTCTTGAGCAAAGATGAAAGCTAAGGTGCTCCAGTATTTCCCTTTTCCTGTGTGTTTTGTCAAGATTTATCTTAGCCACGTTTCCATTGTGAATCTTCAGGATATATATATATATATATATATATATATGTATGTTTGTATGTATGTATGTAAGTATGTATACATACATACAAACCGTATTTGCTGGCTTATGAGACGCTTTTTCTTTTAATGTATCACAAATTACAAATTACCCTGCGTCTAATGCGCTTGCGATACGGATGCGAGGCCGATTGCGGTAGGTGCCTAGCTAGGGAGTCTGGGACAAGCGTTAGTCCACTAAGCACAAACAATTGTGTTACTAATAATATTACTATTAATAAAATACTGAAAAACAAGCCAAATTATCACAATCAATTATCACAAACTTACGGCAAATTTGCCGAAGACGTAAATAATGGCTTACATTGGCTTAATGGCAGAGGGAAGCTCACAACATCTCACTGTACCTCCTTCATACGTAACCCACACTAGATACATGTCTAAATGAAAAATGCCCCTAGAAAGATTAAAGAAATGTTAACAGAAAGTTCAGCCGCCAGTCAGCCATTTGCAATGAGTCAATGAAGCCAAAACAATAGCGATGGTGCTACACTCTGGTGGCCGATCATGGCAACACAAAACATAACCGCTAAAAATACAAGTCCCACATTCTGTCGGTAATTCTCTTGACCAAAATATAAACAAGCCACACAGCTGCTCTGACCAGAGATAGGGTTGGGTTAGTATAATGTTACTACAGTGAACCCTCGCGTAAAACACGGTTTCACTTTACGCGTTTCTACATTTACATTTACGAGAAACATTTACACGGTACCCTGCCAGAACCGGAATTCCCACTTTACGCGGTGCATCTACTCATATACACAGGTGAAGTATATTTTTTTTTTATTTAGCTCATAAAATTCATACAAATTACCGGCCAGAATATAATTTACATTGCTGGAATTCTTACAATTTGATGATCATTTTGAATATAAACATCATAGATTTTGCATTAGACATACAAATTTTAGATCTAATGTAAGTATTTTGTTCACTGAGTAAATATGTTATCTTTTGTGCAAAATATATGACATTTATATTCAAAATATTCCTGGTCTTACAAGGAATCCAGCAATGTCAATTATATTATCCTAACTTTAATCTGAGGTATTATTTATTACTATACCTTAAAATCTAGTGTTTTCCCCCAAACATTTCTCAGAGAGGGAAGAGCCAGCGAGTGTGAGAAGAGGGGGAGGGAGTTGAGTCCATTATTTGAATGGACATTAACTTGGCGACTGTATTTCTCTATTTCTCTTAAATATTAATTGTGTGCATGTACCATCATAAAATTAAGATGTTATTTTTACTAGAACATAGGTATTGTGTCGGAAAAAGTGGAGTTTGGGGGTCGGCCCGGTCTCTATTTCAATTAATCCCATATGTTATGTTGTTCACTTTACACGTTTCGCTCGCCTCCGAGGGTTCAATTGACCGCGTAAAGTGAGAGTTCACTGTACAGTGACCCCTCGGTTAACGAACTCAATCCGTTCCAGATGGTCGTTCGTTAACCGAAAAGTTCGTTACCCGAAACCATTGTTTCAATGGGTTTTTGGGTAATTGGTTCCAGCTCACCGAAAATTGCCTAAATTCAACAAAAATGGTAGATAAGTTCACTTACTTTGAGGTGTGTATGTAGAAGGCTCCTGGATGATGATGATGATGGGAATTAGAATGGGGGTGGAGGAGAAGGAAGAAGAGAAGGCATTGGGGTGGAAGAGAAGTCACCCCATGGCACCATTTCACCCATAAAATTTTAGTTCTCTTGGTGTATTTCAAGATTATTTTCTTTAAATCAACACTGAACTGCATTATATAATTGTCAATATGTAAAATATATTTCAAAATGACCAATAATTTGCTTGGACACAGAAAAAAAGCATTTAGTTGAAGAGAGTCTCAAGCAAGATGTTACCTCCAGTGAAAACAGAGAGACTAACGCCTGTTTGCTGTGTTAAGAGGCTGGATGCCGCGCATTAAACTAGTCACTTTACCTTCAATTATGTTCAATAATTGTTAAAATGACAAAAAATTGAATATTAAACAAGGAAAACATGTTGAGGTCGGTGTTCGTAAGAAATTCGTTAACCGAATTTTTGTTCGTTAACCCGAATTGAAGATCCTATGGAAGGCAGTTCGTTAACCGAAATTCTGTTAATCGGTATGCTCGTTAAACGAGGGGTCACTGTATACTCATCGAGATGCATCTCAAGTGTGACCTTTTCATATCCCTTGTGTGGCTTTTTACCCTCTTTTCCCCCAAAACAATACAATTAATGAAAATTGCAAACTATATTCTTTGAATAATGTTTCTGAATGCACCTTACACAATATAAATGAATAATAATATGGTCACACAAGAGGAGATGGGACGCCATTGTTTTTGTTTGTGTTTACGTCCGGGACGATAGTTCTACACAAGAAAATTAAGAAAATAAGACCCTGGTTGTTGTTGTAGTAAATTAATGTAAAAAATTAATATATTAGTTGTACCCCCACTTAACGCCGTCAATTGAACTATATATACAGTTGTACCCCACTTAACGCGGTCAATTGAACCCAGAGGGTCCCGCGTTAAGTGAAATCCGCGTTAAGTGAACAACAGAACATATGGGATTAATTCCAATAGAAA